TGCTAGCTTCAGCCATTTCACAGTTTTTGCTTTGAACAAGCTTCGACAATTTGTGGATAGCAGAAAGGAATTGACAGCTCAATCCTACAGATTCGTTGTTGAACATGCCTACAATCAATTCTTTCAGCATGAAGCATTCCATCAATCTGCAAGAGCAAGGACAAAGGTCAGGGAATGCGGTTCAGGTGACTTCCACACATCTACAAAGCTCGATGGCTACATCTGGGTAGCTGGAAAGGACAAGATTGCTCACATCCCAGAATCAGAGCAACAGAATGTGGACATGGAAGATCACAATGATGATGATGCTGAAGATGATTTGGAGTTTTTGCCAAGACTACAAGTTTTTGTCAGAAAAGAGGAGGAAAAGGCATCAGGCTCTCAGGAAAGAGAGGAAGAAGGTGTAGGCTCTCAAGAAAGAGAGGAAACACAACCACAACAAGAAGATGAGGTATTACCAGATGCAAATCCTCGAAGAAATCTGGAAGATCGACAGGGACTGTTTTTAGTCAGGCAACTCAAACCAGAGCACAGACAGATCCTCCATGATATTACACTCGCAGGCCAATCAATCCTCACAGGAGATGATCTTGAAGGAGGTCAACCCCTTGAACGTGGTGACATAAGCTTCTTCTCATTATGGTTGATGATGTCGGCATTATCAGATGCTTCTTTTTCAACATTTATGGAGCAGTATGCACCCATGATGGGTTATGAGATCTCTTACGACAAGTATCATGAGTTCAAACTGGATATTGACCAAGTTCTCAGGGAAAATGAACACCTTGGCGCAGAAAATTTCTTTGGAGCAGAGGATCCTGATTTGGTGGACGATGATCCAAACACTCCTCTTCCAGATCTTCAAAGACCAGGCGCGGGTGATCCTGAGTACAAGCACACTATTGAAAGTTTGAACATTGAGGACAAGCATATCATTTTGGAAACTGATAATGACAAATTGGTTGAGTGTACATTGAAATGGATCAGTATGTGCAATCAGAATGTTCAACAAAAGATCAAGGACAGTTTTGTCAAACCAGAAGAACGACAAGAGAAAGAAGAGGATGAAGAAGAGGAGATTGCTGTCGAAGAAGAAGAAGAAGAAAAAGACACACAGGAGCCACATGTCCCAGCTGAAAGCTCTTCAGAGAAAGAGGAATCAGCTCCACCTGAACGCTCCTCAGAAAAGGAGGAATCAGGGGAGAAGAAGGCAGACATTCAAGATGATGAAACAGCTCCTGAAGTGAAACCTGCAATTCGACTTTACTATGGTCAAGATATCACTGGAAACGAAGATGATTCAGTTTTTCGAAAATTGAAGGATTGTTTTTCAGATGGTTACCATGGTGAATGGGCAGGATTTTACAACAAAGGTTATCCAGCGTCTTCGAAGCATCGACATATGTTTTGGCATGTTAAGTACAGGAAGACCATGTCTCCACATCAAGATTATTGGTACCATCTTACAGATGACCAGTTGATGGTTGAGTACATTGCCAGACACAAGGATCAGAATCCACAACTAGAATTACAAGAACTCAATCAGCGCATTGAATATGGTTGTAGTGATCCAAGGATGCATCCTCTTCATCAAGACAAGGCAGAAAGATCCTCAAAAGAAGCAGAAAAGAGGATTGATGACGATTTTGGAAATCTCACAAGGGTACTCCAAGATTACGTTGAGGACCACAAGGTCTTGCCTTACTGTATGATCTTGCATAGCTTGGCTTACAGATATTTAGGTGGAGGCCTATCAGACCCAACTTACAAGGATGCCGAATTTCCATACAGATCCTCTCCACAGATAACAGCAATGTTTTGGAATTTGGGAAACTGGTGCAGAAACAGATTTGAAAAATGCCCGGTTCCAGAAAGATTTCAACAATTCATTCCACACATTGACTACACTATCGATGAGGACCATGAAAAATTTGATGAAAACAAATCACAGTTCAACAATTACTTCATCAATGTCATCAAGAACTTTGGAGGACATCTTTTCATGAATTGCGAGGCTGGTTCATTGTATCCTCACAGAGAAAGACTCGACGAGGTTGACTTTAAAACTTGCTTCAATGACTATCATGACTTGATGGTGGCAGCTCGCCTTGGAAAGGATGGCTATATCAAGCAAATTGCTGGATATCACACAGATGACAACGACACACGAGTTCGACAAGTCTCATGGGCAATCTTTGAAGTATCTTGGGGAAAGACAAAGGATCGAGATACAGATGAGATTGTTGACTTGACAAGAGCTAGGATGAGAATGACACGTGTGTGCGTTTATCACGTCGGACAGAAGTATGCATCAGACTCTGCTGGGATTGTTGGTGAGTGCTTAGCTGTTATGGCTTTTGAGTGTGCCAGATATCAAGTTGACTTCATCGCAGGTGATGGAAACAAGGCATGCTATTACAGCACACCAAAATCTCCAGGTGTCCCTACATACCAACACAGCCTTATCCAATTCTGGATCAACAGAATGGTAGGTGTTGCAACACAAGCCATGCGCAAGTATTTTGATTCATCTTGCCCTCCAATCAGGGTCAAGCATTTCATTTCTTGCAGTTATCGTGACTTGGATTTTCTTGCAACGCACTTGGATGGCATTACAACAGCAACATACACCGACGAGCTCATGAACAAGACAAATGGTAAAGGTGATTGTTGTATGTTAACAGTTGTTGAGTGGGGTCATTCACGTTTGATGTGTGAGGAACGCCCAGAAGACTTTGATGGAGATGAAGATCGCATGAACTATGTGGGTGAATTTTACTTCAAGGTAAATGAAACTTGCTTACATGGTGATCACAACATCTTCATGGTTGCCCCAAATGATCGTGATGCTCACAATCCAATTCTTGTTCATCTGGATCCTTCTGATATGTCATGGAATGAACGACATCATTACAAACAGGCTTTCAAGAAGAAGCAGTATGCAGATACAAGAAAGGAAAGACAGAAGGAGAAAAAGAGAAAGGCATATGAAGAACAAGCATCAACGTATCAGGGCAACGTTAGTTGGGGTGGATCCTCATCTTCAGCGTCCAGACCATGGAGATCAAGTGAGTGGCGATGAATGAGTGTATACTTCTTTAAATGAAGATAACACAGCATGAGAAGCCGTGTACAGTTTTTCTGTGCGTTCAACTTATTTCACACAGATGGCATATACTCTTTTAGATAGAGATAATGCCACAAGTGTCTGAACTTCAATTTAATGTAAAATAGATACTCTTGTAAATAGAGAGACTATAAACATTTATCTCCATGAAATTTCCGCGAGCAGACCACTCCGAATGGAGCGAACTCCAAAAATTACCAACTTCGATTTTTGTCCATTGTTTGCTTGAATGAGCAACTTTGGAGATCCGCTATTTCCGTTTATTTCGTGATTTGGTCAATTGTTTTTCGTATGACCTGAATTTCTGAATCTTGCGAACCCGAACTTTTCAATTCGAACTTTCACCGGTAGAGCGAGGCATTTTGCCTGTGGAGAGACCGTGCGCGAAGCACCATTGGTCGCTACTGGAAAAATTAGCGAATCCGCTGTTCTTTTTCGACATGTCCTTAGGACATTCGCTGCTTTCACGTGTTTTTCAATTCGAAGCCACTGCGTAACTCCGGTTTATTTTGCTATTTGCCATTGTGTAGAGAAGTCAGGAAGATACTCTTAATACCAATTGGGTACGGCAAGGCGTAGTGCTCTACTCATTGCTTTTGAATTTGTGCCTGTGTTTTTGTTTCGACCTAATACCTACATAGGTACATGCATGAGTATTGAGCACATTTATATGCGCCCTTCAAGGCTCAAGAGGTATATAGAGTAACCCTGTAGACAAGCACAGACCGGCAACAGGCTGAGTAAAACAAGTGCTGTCATTGGGGAAGACGCCTTAGCTGATCTTGAAGTAGACGCTAGGGCCCCTCTTCAGCCCTCCCCCCCAATCCCCCCCCTCCCGCTTTTTTTAATTATTTAAATTCAAACTTGCACACTTTTCAATACACTAGTTTGATTCGACTATATTAATATTTATGTTTAAATTTATATATATATATATCTAGACATATATATATATATAGACACGTATACATATATATATGTATATGTATATATTTGCATTTATATATACACTTATTTATATATATATACATATTAATGTACTTATATAAATGTATATATATGCATATTAATATGTATATACATATCAATGAATATATATTTATATAAATATGTATCTATAAGTATATATATATAATAAATACACATACATATTTACTTATAGATATACAGACGTATACACATATATATATATATATGACATATTTGTGGTTGTTTTTATACACAACTTTGATCCCAAAATAAACTACAAATAATCATGTAATTATACCTGCATGTTGTATCCCTAAACCCTTAACCACACCCTGCATATACATACATGCATGCATACATACATACATACCTACCTACCTACCTACCTACCTAACATACATAACAAACATACATACATACATACATACATACATACATACATACGCACACACACACATATATATATATATATTGATTGATTGATTGAAGAAAACCATAGAAAACTTGCAGAAAACCACGGAAAATTGAAGAAAACCAGGGAAACATTGAAGAAAACCATGGAAAAATTGAAGAAAACCATGGAAAACTTGGAGAAAACCATGGAAAACCATGGAAAAATTGAAGAAAACCAGGGAAACATTGAAAAAAACAATGGAAAAATTGAAGAACACCATGGAAAGCTTGCAGAAAACCATGGAAAATTGAAGAAAACCATGGAAAATTGAAGAAAACCATGGAACAATTGAAGAAAACTATGGAAAAACCATGGAAAAATTGAAGAAAACCATGGAAAAATTGAAGAGGCACGAAACCCCAAAAAAAATCCAAAACTGTAAAAAAAAAAAATACCAAAAACAATTCTGCACCCATAAATATGTCCCAGGTTTGCAGCAGCTTGTCACAGGATTCCTTTGAAGACCAAGAAGTTGGAGCATAAGAAGGCCAAAAAATCCTTGGCGATTTCATCGCTTCCATAGGGAAACGGCCCAGAACTTGGTACTGACATGTGAAAAAGGACCTCCAAAACGTATCACGTGGTTGGGGTTCAAATACCCTCCAGTGAACTAAGAGTTTGCTGTGGAAGCCATGTTTGATGATTTACTGTGCTTTCAACATGGTTTTCCAGTTCGCAAACTGTTTAATTACCAGAGGGTAGGGTTTGATGCTCAAACTTACCAGCCATTAGTGGGTCGATTGGTGCTCTGATTCTTGATCACCAGGACTGATGTCCGTTGAAGCTGTGAAGATCCTAGAACATCCTAAGCAAATTTGATGTGTATGCGGTATATTGTATATATAATATATAATGTGTATATTATGGATATAATTATATATATAGGTAATAATTATCCATATATGTATATATTGATACACCCAATACACCTAAAAAGGCGTTTCATAAATCTAATCATCCTAAAACCATTTAAAGCCATTGGTTTCCTTCTTGATCATCGACTTGTTTGGTGGTATGTGGAGTCAACTTCTCTCCTTTCGGGACTGGCATTGTCTGAAAATAGTGTAACCCATCAGCGAAGTCGCGGGAATCATCCCAAAATGGGCTCATTGCTGTGGGAATTCTTCAAATGTGCAATTGATTTACCCTCTGGTAAACTAACATAGCTATGGAAAATCACCATTTATAGTGGATTTTCCCATTAAACAATGTGATTTTCCATAGTTATGTTAAATTACCAGAGGGTATCCCTGCTGTTTGTAAAGAAAGGATACCTCCAGTGCCGACATGACGACCGTGGATCCAGGTTGTTTTCGGCTGCCAGAGACCCACAGGTCCAGAACATCGCTGGAAAATTGATACTATAAAACGACCTCCAGCTGCTAGTATGACCCATTACCCTCCAGTAAACTATATGGAAAACGGACCATTTATAATCAATTATAGATGATTCAGACCATTTATAATCAGTTATAGGTGATTTACCTAATAAAATATGAATGTTTGTCCATGTTTCAGCGTTGCTTTCCCAGAGGCCTGTTTCATCAACCAGTCCTCGGCCGCAGGTCTGCATGATGGCGTTCAGTCCCACGGAGTATACCACACAGTTGAACGGTGACGTGCCTGGGCCATGATTGTCACCGATGATCCCAAAATGATCCGAAATTGATCAGAAAGAGCCTGCTAAGCCCCCAAAAATCATGCTAGAAAACATGGTAAGCCCCCAAAAATATCCAAAAGTCAAATAGAAAAAAACAAAAAACCTCCACAAAAAAAAAAAACTCCCATCATCCCATGCGCCACCGTTTTGGCGCCAGGTGTGGATCATGGGCACGCCGCTCTTCTACGAGTACACGGCGCACTACGATCGTGGTGCCGGAAAGGAGGAGAAGGCACGGCACGGCACGGTGATGATGTGGCAAAGTGAGGTGATTTCAGCATGAAACGTGGGAGTGTCATGATGAAATCATATTGTCAAGTATGTTATGGTATACAGTATCAAAATCATATATATATAATATCCCATATAAAAGTATGTTATTTTTTCAAGATGGGATATTATGGCATATTGTTATGACTCATGACGGATATTTTTCATGATGTTGGTACTGTCGGATTATCATCTGGAGTATATGAATGACCCATGTGAAGTAGAACCCCCCATAAATGGCCATTTTCAATAGCTATGTTAAATTACCAGAGGGTATATATTTCAGCCAGATAACATGTCGCAGCTTCAGGAGTTGGGGTAGAGAGTTGCGTGCTGCTTTGCGTGCTGGGAGCTTGTTGATGCATAGTCCTGGCAAGTGATTGCACGGGTTCATCTTCACCCCTAAAAAAAAACAATACTGCGGCCGAAAAAACCCGAAGTTCTGGATGGCTTCAGATCCTACAAAACCACCGGGCCCGAACCGGTACATTGACAATTTGACCCATCCCTGCTACCGTATTGGACTCACATGGTTGGGTCTGCATCCATCTTATCTCCCAATATATCTTCAGAAATTTGTTGGTTTCATACTCCCATGAATATATCCAGATTGCTGCTCATATTCGAGAGATCATAGCAGTGACAATCTGCAATGTCCCCATCATATCCCCATAACTCTGCATAAAGCCATCAAAAACCCATCCCCATCATATTTCCAAAATATGTCCATCAAATATCATCAAATCCTCACATATGTACATACATCCACGTTTAACTATAGTTATTCATATGATTTTAGTTTATGTTAGATGTATATCTGGTTGGTGGTTTGGAACATGTTTTATTTTTTCCCTGATGATCCAGTCTGACGAACTCCATCATTTTTCAGGGGGGTAGGTCAACCACCAAGTGGATATTATGTTGTACCCTCTGGTAATTTAACATAGCTATGGAAAATCACCATTTTTAATGGGAAAATCCACTATTAATGGCCATTTTCAATAGCTACATACGTTAAATTACCAGAGGGTACCCCGAAATAAGCCCAAACAGCCAACCCTAAGCCAACTCCCAGCGGGCTCAGCGGGCTGTCAGGACATTGGGATGGGGTTCACGGCCCGTGCGGAGGAAGACTGCGGAACGTGCCAAGGCCATTGGGAAATCGGCCGAAATAAGGGGGGAAACAATAGGGATACCATGGGATTTAACCATCAAAAATAGGGATTGGATTTTTTTGGGGGGGGTTGTGAGGTTTAAACAGTTTAACCATATTGATTTCATGGGATTTAATGAGATTTCACCAACAACAATAGGGATGTAATGGAATTTCATGGGATTTCAGATATTATTATGCGGATACCGTCTGGTAATCAAACATGGCTGGCTGGAAAATGCCCGAACTAAGCATGGAGGTTGGATATCATGGGAAATTAATCAATCTAAGTAAATGGTGGATGTTCAATTGCCACGTTTGATTACTGGAGAGTAAATCCACTGAATAATCATTAGTTTCTTTATATTATATCATATACAGGGCCAGCACTGGGGGGTAGTATCCACATGTTTTCAGACAAAGCCAATAGGAGTGATCAGATTGGAAAGGTTCATGAAATGTGGGTAAATTATAACGACCTCTCTGCTTTTCCGAACCCTGGAATGATGGCTAGAAAGGGGGATTCTCCCAATGTTACTTATATATCATTATAAGTTACAAGGTTTGTAAATTATTAATGGGATAGAGTTAGTGAATCCCAATATTATCCCAAATATATATATATATACGTATATTATATTATCCCATTATATATTGCATCTTATCCCAATATTATCAGATATTTCAGATTAGTGAGTCATAATTGCCCAGACGATCCCTGCAGTCGCAGGTGAGGTCCCCCAGTTCTAACGTTGGTAAACCCCACGAACTCTAAGTTATACTGTATATACTTGTATCATGTTATATTCCCCAATAAACCTTCATAAACCATACATATCCAACTCATTCTCCTAATCATTTCTCGGATGACATCCTTTAGCAACCATCAAGATCGAATCAACATCGATCAAACATAACATAGAAACATAGAAACACATGAATCACATATTTTTCAAGAAAAATATGCTATTTTCCTGGGATATTCAAAAGGGCCACCTTTTTTTTTTTCGGGCCAAGTGTTTGAGTTCGGAGCCCAGGAAACAAGATCCAGAGACCCTCGCAATCGCTGATTGGCTCCGAATCCACTAGGCCTCGGGGTCCCGGGGTGGTCCCGGCGACGGTTATTTTTGACCCTGAGGATAGGGGTGGTTATTTCCTGACATATTTATCATAGTTAATTATCATGGTATATCATGGTTAATAATAGTTAATAACCAGCTAGTGAAAGCATATATCGTGATTTTTAAGGAAATAGCCCTGGTTTATTTGGTATGAACTGATCCATAAAACATGATTACGTGTCCTGAAATAGTGTTGAGATGGGGGGCAAACATGAAAAATTAAGAACTTGATTTTGCAGCACTGAACATTCCTACAGGAAGCCTGACAGTGCATAGGAAGATGTCATGAATTTTGGTCATAATTTAATGGAGGCTGTTATGTCACTGGGTGGAACGTTTGGGAGCGATTCGGCCATAAGACACAGTGCTTCCCGGTAAGGGTGGAAATTGTTCGCAAATCAGTGATGTGCAACCAAAAAGGCATTCTTGGAGGATCATCCCACTTGGCAACTGATGAGTAGACATAGATACGTCATGATACGTCGTTATAATATGTTGTAACTTGCTACTTCAAAGATTTTCGTCGGGATATACATGTTTCTACATGTTTCAGCTTAACTATTGCTACCATTTGCTATATTTTTTCTACCCACGAAGCTATTGTCGCGCAATGATCCTTTTGTGGTTGTCGAACGTTTTACTCGGCGCCAGATCGGACCACTCCACGAGTCGCAGCGGGATGGGGATGGACGGTCTGAAGTACTTGGACAAGCAGCCACTGGGCAGCACCCGACCACGAAGCAGGAACTGCTGGAATGATGCCCCAGTGTCCCAAAATTGGGGACCCCAATTTTCATCGAATTATAATGATTGGGCATATGAAATAAGGGGAAGGCGATTGGTGAAAAAGCCGAGGCACCCCAATGAAACACCCAACCGTCTCCAAGAAGGTTTGCAAGGAGCCGTGCGATCAGCTAATTTCAGACTATTTTAGGTTTGGGAGTGTGAGAAATTTGTCCGGAAGGGTAACAAGCACGTGGGTTTGTTGGTATTCATGGGGTATGCCGGAAATCCAATGATGCATTCTAATTCTAACATATTCTAACCACGAAAAAATTAATGGTGATTTTATGTGTATATGTTATATATATATCTCTCTCTTATGTGAATTATCCATGATTTTCCCATGATAATTCCATAAAGCTCCCATGAAATCATCAGGAAATCCCCGAAAAAATCCACCATGGACGCTGCCAAGGCCCGTCACTCGAGGCTTTGTCTCCAGCAAGAGCATTTGAGGCCCTGGGAAGCCCTGGGATCGGTAGGTGGATGCTCATAGCAATACCAATAGTTAGATGCCACTGCTTGGTGGTTTGGAACATTTGGATTACATCTGGTTGTTGGTTATATATCTGGTTAATAGTGATGGTTAATAGTGGTTTTCATAGGGTTTTTGAACCAACAACAATGGGAATATGATGGTTATATACTGGTTGGTGGTGACTGGAACATTTGGATTATTGTTCCATATATTGGGAAGTTCATAACCCCAACTGACCAACTCATATTTTTATATATGTTTTTCAGAGGGGTAGGTATACCACCAACAAGTCCAATATAATCCCATATTTTTCAGTTGGGATAGCCTCTTTTTTTGACTGGGGAGGTATAACATGGTAAAACCCGTTTGCTAAGTGGGATGCACTCCCAAGTAGGTGGATGAATGGATGGATGGATGGACGGACGGATGGATGGATGGATAGATAGATGGTAGATAGATACGCAGATAGATATAGATACATGGGTAAGTACTGTAGGTAGATCATGCAGAAAATCAACTGGGATCTTGCAGTGCGGGATTTTTCACTAGGAAAAATGACGATTTTTCATCAACCAAAACCAGACTTCTCCCATTGTGCTTGGCCCGTTGGGATGTCTCGTTCTGCAGGTCCGTTGCCCAATTGGACGCCCGAGATGGGATGAAAATCTCCAACATCGATTGCTGCGCATTGTTGCGACAAAAAGCGGCGGATCATGGATGGTGGGTGGCAGATCCTAAGAATTCCTAAGAGGTACCGATAATGACAAGACAGCTCAATTGCCAACAGATAATTTAACAGTTTGCCATTGAAAATGGCCACTTCTAGTTGATCTACCTACTAAAAATTGGATTTTCCATAGTTTTTTGTTTGTTTACAAGAGGCTACCAGAGATGCAGTTGCACAAACCTTTCCGAATTCGTCCTGGTTTTACTAATGTGGTGTTTTCCCCTTCCGAGGACCATCCCCAATGATCCAAGTTTTTGCAGTTTTTTTCAGCCACAGGATGGAACTGAAAGCGTCTCCATCCGAGTTTCCCGGAATTGGTTGGAGGGAAATGTTGCCAGGTTTTCCCCTACATATCCTATCATATCATGCTAAAAACCTGTGAAACTAGAGTAGTTTCCCGTGAATTCTCCCCTAAATCCATAATTATTCCATGGCGAACCATTTAAGTGACCCAGATGTTTTCTAAGCACTGCCATCCGAAATGTACCTGCAAAGCCCGCAGTTTGTCGAAAACCCGATAGTTCAACCCTCAGAAGAAATAGGATAGGATGGACGGCTTTTTATTTTTTGTAAACCATACCCATTGCCAAGGTTTAATCCATGTTTACCATTCAGGAAAAAAAAAGAGAGACGAAGTACACCAAACAGCCGTTGATCTTAATCTCCCAACAGGAAACTCCCAGCCCGGAATGCAAAATTCATGGTATCATATGGTATCATTATGTATCATTCAAAAATCCGCACTCCAAAATCCAAGGGTTTTCCAGCTGGCATCAGCTGGCCACGTTTGATTACCAGAGGGATCCCCATAGCACCATCTGTATAAATCTCAGAAATCCTATTAAATCCCATTAAATCCAAGGGTTTGCCATCCTTCAACCGAAAAAATGAAAAAGACTATTGACCCTGATTAAATCAAATCCCATTAAATCCCACCTCAAAAACTGGTGGTTTTTCATGTACCGGGTCTCGACCGCTGTCTCTCTGGCAGCCTCGCACATGTGGGAACCACCAGGCTTCTCCTGGCCAGCCGGGAGCCAGGCCGTGAGATCCAATAACCCCACAGCCGTAGCCATGTTTTCATGGGAAAATCATGATTCAATGGGAATTTCCCTTAGGCATTACATAGGCATTATATATGGTAGGTACCTCCAATTTAGGATCCTGAAATTCCCATTGAATGATCATCCATTGGAATATGAGGGGCACATAGGGGCACCAGCTGTTCGGACAAAGCCAGTTCATCATTGGAACAGTTCCAGAAGGCAAGAATATATTATAATATATTGGCGCATACATAAGCATACTATATTTCCAGACCAACCCATATTCATCAGACAAGGTGGTTATTAGTTGGCTGACAAGATACAGATGGATATGTCTGAACACCTCAGGATATTCACCAAAATTAGCTTGATCATCGAATGGCCAAATTTCGTCCAATCTTGACCTATTTGGGCCCAGGTCACCCTTTGAATCTATTTCGTTTAGCTCACATTTCAATCTGGTTGATGGTTTTTCTCCATAAAAATTGGATGCTGAGTCCCAGTTGATATTTTTTTGGATGGCTCAATCACCACGAAACGCAACGACATTTCTGTGAACAGAAAATGATAGCAGTTCCCTGCAAAGTCAGGTTGGCAGCCACCTGCATTGCATGGTTCCAATGGAACTGTTTGGAAGCCTCAGTGACAGACAGTTTGGTGAAAGTTTGGAGAAATTCAGGAACGCAACCGGTGCTTTACCAACGAATGGGTAACCGATGCTTTGTGTGGAGATCAACAGCATGGGCAATGGATAAGAAAATTCACCCACTGATCAGCCACTTAGACTTAGGACAAAGAGATGCAAGGACCGGTCCGAGTTTAGGTGATATGTATAGGTTGTTGACACACAAATAATTTGAGGATTATGTACCTCAGATTCTGAAAGCTCGTAGATTGTGACTGATTGTCCGAATCAGGCTGTTTCTTCCGTTCCAGTGTGGTGACTGGCTTTGATATAAAAGATCAACGGGCCTCTGGAAATCCATCGGGGCAATGGAAAATCCACTATGAAAAAAATATGTTTTAATAGGAAAATCATCTATCAATGGAGAATTTTCCATTGCCACCTTTGATTTTTTGGAGGGGACCCCCAAGAAAAGTTGCACTCCTCCGAGTTTGGGGAAGAGACGAAGAAAGGAATGGATTGGTCTGTTGATGATTTATGCCTGGGGGCTTGTCCTACTTGCATTTTCCCTGTTTTCGTTCGAATAAAGAGCAAAATAGCTGGTACGCGGTGGTCGATTGCCCCCATGGATAGTTTGGGCTCACAGGTTCTAATCTCCAAATCTTCTGCTTCTCAGAGTGCTTGTGCTCAAAGTGCTTCAGTGTGCCGTAACATTACGCGCAAGCGTGATTTGGTGGCCTCACGTCACATGGAAAGACGAAGGCAGCACCGCCGTTGTCCATTTGCACAATGCTTGTAGCTTGCAACATATGGAATGCACATCAATCTGACTGGACTCACATCCTGCAAATAGTTCAATGATCAAAGTTGAGGCGTTTGCCATCCCAAACTCTATGGATTAGATGGGAAGCAAAGCATTCCAGGGTCAAAGTTCGGTGCAGACACCATTTCGAATTCTGTGACTTCCATTCAGACCTCGGCTTTCTGCTGGCTGCAGTTCGTTGAAAAGCCAAACTCTGTGACTTCCATTGGGAACTCAGCTTTTGAGGCTAAACGGTTGGTTTGATTCCCATGTTATTGGATCAACTATATATCTGGTTGGTGGTTTGGAGCATTTTTTACTTTTCCATACATTGGGAAGAATCATCCCAACTGACGAACTCATATTTTTCAGAGGGCTTGAAACCACCAACCAGTATATATTATATATAATCTGATTGATGCGACCAAATCCTCATGCTGTTCATTTTCAGGAAAGCATGTGTGGTTTTTAAAACCATCACCATTGTTTCTGGGTTCCCAAAAACATGAGGCAATCGTTGCTACATAAAGAGTTCATCCCTGTTACTTGGACCCAGGGACCCTCCACGCCACTCCCAATAGTTCAACTTTTCTGGTTATTGGATAATTGCAATTTACCCAGAAAAAATGTGAAATTGAAGAAACTGATGGAATAAATGTGATGTTTAAGGAACATGCGAACACACTTGGGCACAAAAAAATTGGGAAACAAGTGTGGAATTAGGAAAATTGAGAGAAACTTTGGGAAACAAATGTGAACTCCTGGTGAAATGGGAGAAACTTAGGGAACTTGTTGCGCCGCACGAGGCGATGCCGCCGTTAGGACCCGGCTGGTTGTTTCAGTGCCCGCCCATGGGATGATGTAAAATGACTCCCAACTGGTTTATGAGATGGTTCATTATTGGGTTTGCCATCTTATAGGCCCACAGGGGGTTATATGGGGTTATAGTCCCGGGCCTGGGGATCATGATCGCCCATAATGGGAATACCGCTTTGAACAAGTATAGCTCACTGGATGTCAGAGGGTTTTGAACCGTGCTCAATTTGGGATCCAGAATGATTAGCCATCCTATTTAATTGTCAACCATTTCTGGGCTAGTATTTAAAGTCATTCCAAGTAGGATAAGTGGGCATTCCCAACAATACACCACATTTTTTTCTAGAAATTGGCGATGCGACATGTGGATGGACATGGGGATCTCACCTTAAAATGGGATGAATGATCCTGGCGCACATGGTCAGTAGGGAATGAGGGATGATCCACAATAACTATTAATAATCATCCCAGCAACCCCCAGCAACCCATCCATTCCCTACGTTTAGCACCAGTAAGTCATTCTAAATGATGGCTAAAGTCCGGAAACCATCATTTTGATGGAACCGTGACCGAGTATATAAATGATCCAGGTCCATCTGTTGCAAAGAGACACGTACATAATGTATCCTACAAATGGGTCAGGAGCACCCTCCAAAAACGAAACCCTTCGCTTCCCTGGACTAAACCGCGTGTGCTTGACAATGGTGCATTCCTTTAAAGTGGCCATTCAGTGCGGAATATGATGATTCACTATATTCAATCCATATTCACCAATGGATATAAAACTAGTTCTATGATTTCTTGGACACCCCACCATTGGGGACTCAGAACCCATGTTTTCCCTAATTTATAACCATATATTGGAGGTATATCCTATTTTCAGACACACTAAATGAGTGGATTCAGACCCCTTTTCTGGGTTTTGGTTGTGTTTTTTTCCCAAGGCTCTTGCATTTTAGTCGAAATCTGAGACACTTTTCAAGCGTGTCAGGATGGCATGATGGGTCTACACTTCACGAAATCGGCGGCATTTCGCACTCTTCAGCGCACCGGGCGCCGGGTGGGCGAGAAGTGCAGATGACCGGGTGATGCGAATGGCTGATGCGCCATGGTGAAACAGCTGAATCGATGGTATTTCTCATGGAATTCTGTGATACTAAATATGAATAAATCTGATAGCTAGTAAATTAAATATGATAGTGAAGCATAGTAAAGCCATATCCTCATATTATTATTTATGGTTGATTAAATCATAGTAAATCAATGTAAATCAATGTAAATCAGTTAAATCGACTGTTTTGTGTAGCTTTGTTGCCAATGAGAAGTTGTCGACGGTCTACGGTAGCCAGTGTGGTGTTTGTACATCAAGTTCCGCCAATCGCTTTTTGATTTCAACATGGGTCAAAACATCACATGACTAGCAGGATTTGGGAATGATGGATACTTTGGATATCAACGTGTACCGATCCTTACTTTGTGGGTTTCAATGGTTCAATTCCTGTTGCCCAAGGAAGCCGATTGGTGCTGTTCGCGGAGCACATGATGGAAATCTGATCAAAGAGCAGCTCGAAGATGGTGGAATTGCTGGGGAATACCCTCTGGTCAACTAACAGTTTAACAGTTTGCGAACTGGAAAATCACCATCATTTAAATCAACTATTTGTATGGGCCATGTTCAATGGCTATGTAGAAAATTACCAGAGGGGTCGCCCACTTCCAAGCGTTATAAAACGTCAACGTCCGGACTGGGCCTATGGGGACTGTGACAACTCGCTGCCGCGAGGTATGGCAAGTCGATGAAGTCGATGGCTCGCCGGGGTCGATGGAGAAATGTGCTGGAGATGCTGATGCAGATGTCAGCAGAGAATCTGGAGATGAATGCGATTCTCTGCAATATCGCCATCAGCATCTAGCTATGAAATATGGGATGGATGAAATATGAATTCGGGATGGTTAAGTAGAAAATTATGATGAAAATTGAAGTCGACATTTCAAAGTTAGGGGGATGGCTAGGCATAAATTGATTGAAATATATTGAAGCTGACAATTGCACCCTGAAACTCTTGCTCATCTACAGTAATTAACAGAATAAATAACAATAAATATAAGAAACCATCCAAAAGTTTTACCAGGAAATGATCCCCCCATGGTTGGTTTATTCGTGTTTTACCACATTCTAGTGCAGTTTGGGTGACAACAGATCCATCTCCAAGGTATCTACAGTTGGCAGAGTGCCTGTGAGTCCTTGAAGAACATGAAGGGACGCCAGCTTACTCCTGATGTGATTAGTGACTTGTCCTTCATGTCATGTTGACTCATTTTGCGCTACACAGCTTAGATCACAGACAGAAAAGCCAAAGGGAAATTGCCATGCCGCGATATCCGGGAAAAAAATCACGTGGGGTTTTGAAGCTTTTCTTGAGTAGGATAATAGATTTACATAGATTTACCCCAAACCCTGGACTTTGGTTTCTTCGACCATTTCACCTTTTTTTGGCGGCTTGAGGTTTCAACAGCGCCATCACTGGCTGCGAGAGGGTCACTGCTTGGAGACCCGCAGTTGTGCTGCTGGAGTGGATGGTCATTGGAAGGGTGCCAGCCGATGTCATTGGATTCAGTGGCTCATCGGCGCTACCATGAGTTTTCCATGGTGAATTTGGGGCTGGAAATTTTGCCGCTTCGAAATTGGTGCCCCCCAAATACGGTAGCAGTTCCATGGCCGTCTTGATGTGGCTTTAATAGCGATAAAGATCACTAAGAACTAGGTGTTGCCGGGGTTCGGACTTGTTTTGGAACAGAGGAAGCTAGTTGTGATTAGAAAATATTAGAAAAACATTACACCATTTTCTAAAGCAGGTTGGCATGGAGTGAAAAGTCCCTGCGTCCCTCGGTTTCAAATTTTCTCCCAGTCATTCCGGACCCTGGATTCTTAGGGCGCTTGATTACATCCTCATTGCTATTCGTTGTATCCATAGCATCGGTTCTTCTGCCTTTTGCCCCAGGCTATTCGCGTCAAGACATAAAGCAGATGTATAAAGGCTAGAATTCTATGGTAGGAATATATAGACACATAGCGAAATACATACATTTACATAGCACAAGGTGCAGCTTTATGTCTTGGGATTACGTACAGACATATGAAAATGCTATATCCCCTGTTTGCAGGTTTGGGTTTCCGGTGTTGTGTGTCTCAAGCTTTCATGATCAGCATTCTTGTTGGCGTCCTCTCTTGTGTTGATGACATCTCCACATGGTTTGTCGTTGCATCTCTCTCTTTAGATAGCCAGGTGCTCTTATCAGTGCATTGGCTGGCCAGAGCCAGAGTTTTTGGACTCAAGGACTATGGGATCTATGGGACAAAACCGGGGAGGAATCTGCGGCCTATGGGGTTGTCACGGGCTCAGAATTGGGAAGCCTATGCCCTCCCATTGCTTCTCATTTCTCATATGTTTTGTCCATTTTTGAGCATATTTGAGGAATCTGAGGCAGAAACCCTCACATGGCACAGACCATATTCTATCAACTTTACCACCTCGGGCCATGCGATTAATATACCAATCTATATTCACATCATAGATATACTTATGCATAGATGTGTGTGTGTGTGTTTGTGTGGTCTGTGTGTGTGTGTGTGTCTGTGTCAACGCCTGTGCATGTCATGGTGAAAAGTTGCACGATATACTGATATACCCGGTATACCCTTTCAAGGGGCCATGGTCATGCCCCAGAATAATAGGTATTGGTCATGCCCCAGAATAATAGGTATTGGTCATGCCCCAGAATAATAGGTCTTCAATGGTATTCATACATTCATTACCTGTGAGATTCTCTTGATCCCGTTAGGACTTCAGATCCTGAGTCAACTCCAATCGTGCACAGATGTGCGCCTCGACATCGGAGCCGCGGGCGGGGGATGCTCTCCCTTTTTGTCTCCCTTTTTGGGGAATTTGATGTCTAGAAATATACAGTATTATGGAATAATATACATGATATGTACTGATTGATAGAGAAGCAGCTGGCCGGCCAACAGGCAGGCATGTACAAGTAGATGGGCAGATATGATATATTATATGATATTTTATGGTATTAGATTATATGTTATATCATATTATATCATATTATATCATATTATATCATATTATATCATATTACATCATAGTATATCATATTATATCATATTATATCATATTATATCATATGATATCGTTTTGTGTCATAGTATGGCATAGTGTATCATAATATATCATAATATATCATAATATATCATAATATATCATAATATATCATAATATATCAATGTATATCATATTATATCATAGTACATCAATGTATATCATAGTATATTATATGTGATATATCATGAATCTGCATATAGGTTGATAGGTTTCCTTTTCCAGACGTCGCCATACGTTTCCATTTCATAACGGCTGTGGAAGGGTTGCCAAATCGCCAGTCCAGGATTGCCGTGAGCAGTGCGATTACATGCTGTGAGAAGGGGCAATGGCAACATGGGGTGTCCCTGCTGAACATGGCCGCCGTTGATCGCGTTGCTCCAAACATTATCAGCTGCCGGATTTGCACCAAAGATGGGATGGTTCGGATCGATGACATCGATGACCCATAGCCACAGCTTTATTCTTGTCCAGTCTTAAAAGACATATCCTTTGGTATTGCCTGAGTATCCTGAGTGTGTATGTGTGTCACTTTAATGGGGCAAATATGGGCAAATGAATGCAAATGATAATATCAAATTATGATAAAACCATTGGTCTTTTTTGCTTTCCCAAAATCTGAGACAAACTAGGCCTTGAAATTTGCTACAGTACCTCCATTTTTGGAGCCTATGGATCCTGGAAATTCCAGGTTACAACAGTTCCATCAGCGCTTGCGAGAAGTCCGGACGCTGGAGACTGGCCGTGAAGCTCCTGGGATCCATCGAGACGAAGAGGTTAGCAGCAGATGCTGTCACTGGACCTGTTGATGAGGAAATTTTGTGGCCGAAACTTTGGTGCTTTAGATAATTTTAGATATGTTTAGATGGTTGATGTTCAAGTTCAGGTTTCTGGGTTCAGGTTTCATGAGAATTCTATGAAAATGATCTCGGTCCAACCAGGACCCTTTTCAACCAGTGACCAGTCCGAATTCAGCACCGCTGCAGACTGAGTAGAAATGGAGGATCCCCAGTCGTCACCATGGGGATACTAACATTGTCTCATTTGGATGATTTGAAGGTAGTACCCCCCATAGAAAACCTCCATATGAGGATGTTTTTGCATAAGTGGAGAGATTGCCCATGTAAAATGGCATGGGAATGACTGCTAATAGTTTGTTTGCGGTTTCAAACATTTCTTTTTTGGGGGATTGGTAAGTCCGCCAACTGGGGTTACGGACCGATATGACAACCGGTTGTGACACCATACAGTACCACCTCTCACTGTGTTGTTTATATCTCCAGTTTTGTTTGGTTCAAATAATACCGCTCGCGAGGTGAGCTACAACAGTGCCATCAGTGCGTGTGAGAAAAGCAATTGCTGGGTTTCTGGGTCGGTGTCAATGTGGCGAGGGAAATAGGGTGTTTTCTACGGTATACTACCGTTGAGTATACCAGAAGAAAAATGGCCCATGTTGAAACACCCCAAGGAGGCTGATCTTTATCACCAAGAATCGGATTTCTTTTATGGTGATTTGGCTTATTTTTCCAATGGGAAATCCACTACGACTGGGTAAACTGTTTTGGGCATATGTGTTTATCTCTAGGGGGGTTCTTAGGCAAATCCAAGTATATGAACAATTGAGATGTGCTTTCTGAAGTGTGCGTTTTCCATCCTGATGACACAACCTGCGCTGATGTGATTCTGAGGCACCCTGGAAAACTGGTTGGTGGTTTGGAACATGAATTTTATTTTCCCATATATTGGGAATAATCATCCCAACTGACGAACTCATATTTTTCAGAGGGGTTGAAACCACCAACCAGAAAATGACACCCTGGGATGCCAATTGAAGATCCGAGGCTTATGCCCTATGCCTGCTGCTCTCCATGGAAGACGCCAAGCTGAGTCCAGACGTCGTCAGCTACAGCGCTGTCATCAGTGCTGCAGAGAAAGGCCGGGTCCACTGTCGGATGCGGAAGCAAAAAAAGTGGGTCATCAGTAGGATGTACATATATAATCATATATATATATATACGTATAATCATATATATAATCTGCGAACTTAATCGCACTGGTAGCTCCACACCCTGATCGCGCAAGAGGTTCTTTTCCCCAAAGCGAAAGGCCACAAGGTTCCAAGCAGGAAAAGGGACACTGCCGGTGTCCAAAGCAAATTGGGCCGCCTCGCCCAACAATCCAGCGTCCACGCTGGGTAGCTATGGCTATCAAGCAAAAATTGTCCCACCCGCCACGATACCTCTGAAGGGGGCCTCTGAGCCTTCGTTTGCTGAAGAAGAAACAACCTATGATGTTTGGATTTACCCAGGAAGCTGGTTTGGTACATGCTGAGACTCGCGAAGGTTGCTATGGAAGAAACACCTTGCAATGCTATACATTTCACACTCCCAAAAATTCTGTAAAGTTTCAAAACTTAGCGATCAAGCAGTGTTCGAGGCATTGCAGGTGTTTGCATCACCATGGGAACGTAGCCATTTCAGGCGGGTTCGAGAGTCCGACCTTGCTTTTAATATCTCAAGTTCATCATGTAAACGGTACTTTCCACTTGCAAGTGTCTCACGCAGAAAACTGTTCTCCATAATTTTCGTTAAACCATCAGCTAGCTGGGCTCCGGAGTGAACCCATCGGAGATTCACATTCTCAGCCAGGAGATCCTTGATATATCTCGCGTTCAGCTGGGTTCTGAACTCGCTGCATGATGGTGGAGCAGTTCGGCTCACCAAATCAAACAAACTTTTGCAGTCTGTGGCCACGGTGTCTTCAGGCAACCTTTGAGCTTTGACAGTGGTAGTTGAGTATGATTCTGGTAAACCTTGGAGAGTTCTTTCAGGTTTCTGCCATCACTTGAGTCCAACATCCAGGCCCAACAGAGCCTAATCCATGAAAGCTGATCCAAAACTGAGCTGAGTGACACTGTTTCGGCCGCTAAAGTGCTAGTCACAACCCTTTGGATTTTCTTGCAACCCCAGGACATAGGATTTACTGGACAAGTGGTGTTTCTGGAGATATCTTTATGAGTACTCATGATTATACAACCAGTGTGTGAATCCGGATTCTTTTTGGATGCAAACGATGCATCGGAGAATGCAAGGAAACGTAGGTCTTGGCAGGCTATGGGTTGTATGTGAATTGATACTTGAGAATGACGTTTGGCTTCGTGTAAGGTTTTGTTCGCATTCATGAGGGTTTCAACAGTGGCTTGATTAATGTCGGACTGCAGGAAGCTTAGCCTACTTGCCAAGTCTGGTCTGGTGTGAACGGATGCATATTGGAGGCTTCCAATAAGACCTCTCAAAGCCATCTTTTCCTCTGGTGTCACCTGGAGAGTTTCATCCCTTCTTCGTTCGGGTGTAATCTTGATTGGTGCAATTTTCTTGATGTATTCGGTCTGGGAGAGTGTAATGCTTTTGTTTGGGTGTTGAAACATTTCAATTCCTGTGAAGGTAAAGTTGCCAACTTTTTGGGATCCAAAGGGATATACTTTCTCCAGTTGTTGAAGCTTGAGCATGAATCTTTCATTCCCCCGCATAAACCATCATCCACATGAACACCCATGATTCCATCGGGCTCTTTGGTCTTGGGATTTCTCAAGATAAAGGTGCAAGGACAAAAGGGTGATTGTTCAAACTCTAACTTCAGGAGTTCTTCGCGGAGGGCTTGAAACCAGAGATATGGCGCATCGATGAGACCATAAGCGCTCTTTGTTAAGCGGCAAATCTCATCAGGTCTAAGGTTCATTTTGGCTGCAAGTTCGGGCACAGGTGCAAGTCCTAGGACTCTACCTTCCTGAGGTTTTCCTTGTAGAAATGCTGCACGAATGTCAAATGATCTCAAATCCCATGACTTGGAGGCAATTAACTGTAGTAGCAACATTTTGGAATGTCGATTTAAGGTAGGAGAATCCCTTGGTATTTCAGTGATTTGGGGATCCAGGTAACCCAACACTACAAGTCTGGCCTTAGCCTTTCGAGCATTGTTGGTTTTGTTGGGATCCCTATCCGCCTCATCCACAAGTTTCCATGTTAAGATCCAACGGCATCGAAGAATCTGTTCAGGAGCAATTTGGTTTCGGAACATTTTCTGAACTGTGCCTGTTTTCAACCAATTGGAAACCTCGGCATCTTTGGCAGCAGCA